TAGAACCTGGAAAAATTAAAGAGATAGTCAGAAACTATTTCCAACAATAAATCAAAAAATATAATATAAAACCTTTCAGCAGCAATATATGAGACAAAGAACTACAACCCAAAACATATACTATAGCTCAAGCAAATGATATAAACAAGCAATCACTACAATAATAACTGAAGAAATTTATAAGACACTAAAGAGCAAAATATTCAAATTGGTATCTGGACCCACAGGTATTTCATATACTGCACTAAAGAAACTCAGTATAGAAACTCTCTCCTATATAGTTGACCTGTTCAATGAAATTCTTTAGAAAGAACATTTATCAGTAGAATTAAAACAAGAAAACATCTATTCAATCCTCAAATCCAAATTATAGAAAAATAATATCAATATTATAAGACCAATAACACTTCTAAAAACAATATAAAAAATCTTTATCAAAATAATTACAGACAGATTTGCAAAAATTTTTAGCAACTACAACATACCATTACCACACAACTGGGCAGCTCTTTTTGAATGTAGTATTCAAGAATCAATTCAAATTCTGAGAGCAATACAAGATGACTTTATACAAATCCAGAAACAAGTATGGCTCCTTAGCCTAGATATGACAAAAGTATATAACTCAGTTAATATCCAAAGGCTTATTCTAAACATAAAAAGAATCAAAATTTCAGGAAAAATAATTAACTTTATAATCAACATGTATAACAATTAAAGGTGCAGACATATTTAAAAGTTGCAACCTTAATTACATTATGACATGTAATAATACCATCGCAACTTTTACAACACATGTGACATATTGTTGTATGCTGTAATAAATGATGTAGGGTGTAATAAATATATATGTTGTAATTAGAAATGCAACCTCAATTACATTTATTACGGCATGTAATATTACCGTTGCAACTTTTATAGCATATATAATATTAATATATACTATATTATTTAATGTAGAACATAGCTTTTGTGACATAAATTGAGCAGGGTGATATACTGTATAGTACATCGATAAGATAGTCTATTTACAATATAATATGCATTTTGTTAGCGATAGCTATTGAATGTTTAAATATTCTTTTCAGTGTTTTTAATTAATTAGTGATATATCATAAATTGTATAAAAACAATAAAATATACAAAGAAAAGCAGTATCTTTTTTACGGGTAATTCAGTGAGTTTGTTACCACCAATGCATTAATCGGCATAAATACAACAAAGATAAGTTTCTCCTTTAACTCTTGAGGCGTATTTCGACTTGGCCAGTCTGCTCTAACTTCCTATCGACTAACTAGAGATGCAGACACATTATAAAGTTGCAACTTAACTATATTACGGCATGTAATATTTTTTATATCTTTTGAGATATAATGTCACATGTCATAATATCTGATGTAAAGTATAATATACGTTGTGTGCCGTAACATAGGTTATATATGTGTATTAAATTTCAAACTTTTTATACCAACGAAAGAACGAAATAAGGCTGCACTGAAGGAAAAATAAATGACACACCTAATGAGGACCACAGAAAATAGACGGACTCAGAGCCTGCTGTTATAGGAACAATGGGGATGGAACACAATATTGAGACGCGTTGCGTAATAATAGTAGCAGTGACAATAAAATGATGTAACAATTAGTATAGCATGTAAATAGGGTAAACACGCTAATAAGACATATAAATAGATAGTTTTAAGTAGTATGAGAGAGGAGACACCGTTCGAGTTTAGAGTTTTAGAACACTCTTTGCTTTGTCGTGCTTTATTAAATAAATGCTATTTTTTTCACACAATAAATACGAATGACCCTAAGTTTATACACCGTGAAGAAGTAGTCTAATAATCAACAATGCTACAACCAAATTAAAGACTTTAAGCGAGAAAGTTTGTGATTACGTTTACTCTGTGAAGAGGTGCTTGGAATCTTGAGACGGTTAAGAAGAGATTAGCAAGTGTGAGAAATTGACCAAATTGTAACACACTTCAGAGTTAAAGCCTTACCTTATTTTTAGTGCCATAATCCAAGTGTTTGGATTATTGTCACGTGAAGAGTAAGCTGTTTTAGCGACAGACTTGCTGGTGACGACAACACTACAACAAGACAGATGAATCTGAAAGTGTATGAGAATAGAAATCTTGGATTTTGATAATAAACACCAGCTAGGCACCCAGAATCCCAGTGCATACTTGCATCAAGTAAAAGAAGTGCCGATCTTGATCATTGTAAAGCAAGGACGAGTGTTAATGAGTAAAGAAAGGCCAGAAAGGGTAAAAACGAAGAAGAAGGGATATTATGTTACAAAAAAAAAACACCTGACAAACCTGATTCTTCCATTAATTTTCAGTCTTGCATCACAAAGATTCATCATGTACTTGTCATGCTGGAAAAGTTGTCATCGTTATCTTCATCAAAAAAAAAAGAGACTACAGAAAGGTTTTATATTATATTTTTTGATTTATTGTTGGAAATAGTTTCTGACTATCTCTTTAATTTTTCCAGGTTCTA